GAGACTCAAGCCTTCAAGTTTAGGTCTGCTTCTTTTTGTGAACTTTATATGTCTTTGTGGTTTACTTTTTGGCCATGAAAAGCTGGTTCCTCTAAGCTTCCAGTTCTCTCTTTTGATTTTATATTGGAGTGGCCAGATTGCTTTTGTCTTTAGGAGTTCCCACAGAGGCCCAAGTCAGATGAGGATCAAATGCTCTTGGGCTTTCTATAAAGGTCTGGGTCCCTCCAGGAAAGAGTTTTGCCTTAGGAAGTTAGGGGTTAGATTGTTCTGAGAGCCCGGCCTAGGAAAGATGCTGGTCTTGGGCATCTGGTTGCCGTTCCACCCAGAGATGCAAAGGAAGAGGCCCCAAGGGCTCCTGGGAACTGTACTGAGGAATTGGGTGGGTTGATCTAGATGCAAAGGGTCAGGAAGCCGAAAGGTCAGCCCCGGTGTCCAGGAAAGAGGCTGGCAGGTTGTCCAGCCCAGGGGAACCGAGGGAGGTGAGGGCGGGACCAGGTCCAGAGTGCTCCTGGCGACCTGGAGAAGGACTTGGGTCCCTCTAGTTGCAAGGGATCAGGAAGCTGTGGTGGCCTGGGGCAGAGAGGTCAGCCCCAGTTTCTAGGAAAGAGGCTGGTGGGCCATGCAGTCCAGGGAAGCAGCGGAAGGTGAGTGTGGGACAAGGCCCAGAGAGCTCCTGGGGACCTGGAGTAGGAACTGGGTTGGTCTGGATCCAATGGATCAGGAAGCAGTGGTGGTTCCTCCCATGTCTGGGGTGCCAAGACAAGGAATGGGACACCACCCAGGCTAGGAGGACATACGGGTGGGTTAGATGGGAGGGTGAATGAGGCTGGGGGAGTCAAGGCACCGAGGGCGTGATCGACTTACTTAGGAGCAAGGCCAGTGTGTCTGCAGGCCCAGGGAAGTAGAGGGAAGTGAGGATGGGATCAGGCCGTGAGGGCTCCTGGGTCTTTCTGGATGTAAGGGATCAGGAAGCAGTGTTGGCCTCAGGTGGACAGGTCAGCCCCATCGTCCTGGAAAGAGGCTGGTGGGCTGTACAGCCCAGGGAAGCAGAGGGAGGTGAACAAGTTTGTTTTGTTTTAAAATAGTAATATATACTTTGTGTCTGTTATGGTCCAACCTTACTACGTAAAAAAAATATTTTTTTTGTCTAGTGATTTTTGTTTCACAGAGATTGCATATCTTAATGGATAATATACATTTGTAAATTATTAACATTGCATATTCTGTGCTTCATAATTGAAGCTATCATTTTTATTCTGATAGGCTCATAGCTGGCAACCTGGAATAAAAAATCCATACCGTGGTGTTGTTGTTTGGCCTGTTCCTGAAAACATTGAAATTACTGTAACACTTTTTAAGGTAAGTTCTGTTTTTATAGTTTAAGTTCATAAGTTATAATTTGTAGTTATATATGCATCTAAAGGACAGATTATTTTCACTATTATTGTTCAGAACATTTGTGTCATATCTCATGCCTGATTGTATCTGTTTTGTGACATTCCTGAGAAGATGTGAATTAATGTCTACTCACCCCAGGCAGGGATGGCTGCTCATGATAACAGGAAACCTGGAGGGTAGTACACAGCTTGTGAGTGCCTCAACTGGTTAGAGAGAGTCCTTTCCAGGTAGCTCAGCTAGGCTCTGTCTCTTTCAGGCAGCTCTTTTGGCCTTTACCTTTTCCAGGTAGTTCAGCTTGGCTCTTCTTCTTTCAGGCAGTTCTCTTCTTAGAACACCCTGTTCTTTACCTCCCTTTAGAACAACATACTGTTGTTTTGCCTTGGAAGAAATTGCCATATAGCCTGCATAATTTTCAGGGAAATAGCAGTTTATAACATTGTAAAGGCATCACAGTGTTTCAGGGTCTATAAAGTCTGAGTACTTTGGGGGTCATTTTGAAGTTGCTAACAGTTAAGATCTGCTGAGACACTTCTTCCTGTATTCTCAGGAAACTTCTAAAGTGCTTTTAGTGTGGAAAATTGAGGTTTGTAGTGTTGATGCAAAAACAGAACTCTCACTTAAAATGGAGTAAGACATAATTTATTCTGTAACCAAATATAAATGACTATGGCCCCAGAACACAGATTTAGATCACCTCAAATTTGATGTGCCAACATGGAAGCAGTTTCATGAAGTTTTTATAGTAACAGAACAAAGAAAGTCATGAATCAAGGCAAAAACGTACTTTGCCATAAATACAAAGTAGGCAGTCACAACAAAGTGGAGAAATCTCAGCTATAGGTCTTCAGATGCTATCTGATGACATTCTTAGCCTTTTGGTTGGTGAAAGACAGGGTTTTGTTGAATTAAAGGTTTTTATCAGTTAAGTCACAGGACGTTAGGTCAGACTGAGAGTTGGACAAAGAATGGCTATTTGGAAGAGGGTTAAAGACAGCCCAAGATACATTTAATTAGGCTCTGGACCTGCAGCATTCCAACTTCTCCACAGTTATTGAAATTCTAATCATTTATATTCAGGCTTTATAGAGGGTTCACTTGAAGGTATAATTTCCTTCTGGGAACATTTGTTCACACTACAATTCTTTTGTCTTTCCCATGATTTGTTTAGTATTGTTTGAGAACAGTTAGCTTATAATTAGTAGTCAATACCTCTCTCCTACCCACAGGCCTCTCTCTGGGGTAAGTCTATCGTGCCCTCTGCACCTTGACTCCCCCAGCCTCATTCACCCTCCCATCTCCCCCACCGTTCTCTCCCATTCCTTGTCTTGGGGCCCCAGATACCTGGGGAACCAATACTGCTCCCTGATCCTTTTCTTCCAGACCAATGTAATACCTTCTCTGGGCCCCAGGAGCACTGCTTCTGGGCGGGTAAGTCTATCGTGCCCTCTGCACCTTGACTCCCCCAGCCTCATTCACCCTCCCATCTCCCCCACCGTTCTCTCCCATTCCTTGTCTTGGGGCCCCAGATACCTGGGGAACCAATACTGCTCCCTGATCCTTTTCTTCCAGACCAATGTAATACCTTCTCTGGGCCCCAGGAGCACTGCTTCTGGGCGTGGCCCCACCCTCACCTCCCTCTGCTTCCCTGGGCCTGCATCACCCACCAGCTTCTTTCTGGGATGCGGGGACTGACCTTTCCTCTTTCTGATCCTTTGCATCCAGACCAGTAACACAGACTCAGGAAAAAAAATCAACGTATGTTCTCTCTCATATGTGGATCTTAGAACCCGACTCTGATAAATAAGTATGCTACCAGACATAACTACAGGAACCAGGATAGTGGAAAGGAAACAGGGAGGTAAAGGAAAAGAAAGAACCTGAAAGAGAAGAACACTAGGAAACAGGCTTTAATAAGGGAAGTATGGATAAAAATTGGGTTAGTTTAACAGAGGGTTGAGGGAAGGGTATACAAGAAACCTAGGAGATAAAGGGAAAGAAGGAGCTCAAGAGAGGTAGAACCATAGGAGAAGGGTATTAATAAGGATGAAAGAGGGGGAATAATGGCACCTTAAGAGGGAAAACCATGATGGAGGGGTGAGACAATGCGAGAGATAAATGATGCCTAGCTAGTTTTGAAAACCGGAGGGAACCATATTACTCCAACACCGTACTGACAAATTATACATAGCAGATCAAGAAATATATGTCTAGGTAA